TTCTGGGGGGGGGGTTGTGTGACGATCCACGTCAGCCATTGGGGAGGGGTCTGGTGGCAGCGGCATGATGCAAAGGTGCATCATGGGAGTTCAGTAATTAGTTCAGAGAGCAGTTATAAAATTATTGTTAAAGTGTTCTGATGTGTTACCTTGTTGTTGTGTGTTGTCTGACGATGTTTGCTAGTTGGTTGCTGTGCTGTGTTTTGAACCGTAAGTTTGAATTGTATGTGTGAAACTGACCCTGGGGAAAATGCCATTGTTCAGCAGTTCTAAATAAATGACCGAGAAGTCAGTATTGTGTTGCGGTCATTGTGAAGGACACGCCCATGTGCTATCCAGAGTCGTGCGGTGTATGGGGCCTGGAGTAGTCACTAACCAAAATCAGCATAGGTGCTAGCGCCCTGCTAGCTAGTTTAGCTGTTCCAGTATAGTTAGTCTCTCTCCTCCACGCCGGGGGTCATTACAATATGTTATTGGGAGTTTATTATTATTATTAGATAATACTGTGCTGCTGACCAAAAGCCGTTAAAAGCCTTACTTTTTATTAAAATATTTGTCGTCTAAATATACAGTGGTACAGAAAATATTAAGGAAATATCCTCTTCTTTTAATATTGTAAACAGGAAGCTGAGCATGCGCTTGGTGCGTGCCTGATTGGACAAGAGCTTTAAACAGCACCGAGTCAACGGCAGACGTCAAAAATACTATTGGTGGACGTCAAAATATGGGCGGAGTCAAGCGCGTGACCACCACTTTCTGGAAACTTTGTTAGCTACAGGGATCTGTGCTCCGTCGTCTGATTGGTAATGTTATTAGGTAGGAGTAGCATAGCATGCTGGAAATCCTCGAAAAGCGAGTTTGTTGTTTTCTCTACAGCGAGAATTTGATAATGCTTACATGCAAAGTTGACTTTGGATATAGTAACTGACAAGACTGAGTCCATGGGCAAGACGGCTAACTTCAGTTAGCCAGCTGCTAGCTAACGATTAGATAACTTTAATAGCTAACATTAAGAATCTATTAGTCAGCTTAGCGAACCACGTGAAACTAGTCGGCTAATTGCTGGCTAATTGTTCTAACTTGGCCTTGCGTTATTATGCTGTGAAGTTATATTAAATCAAGACTAAGGTTAGGGTGACTCGCGGTGTTATGATCTAATGACTATGCTGGTGAATGACTAGCTGTTGAAAACAGAAAGATAAAACAAAAGCCGCTTTAGAGTATACATGTTTCATTAAATTGACAAAACATACCTATCTGCTGTCTTAGGAGTTTTGTTAGAGTAAACGTGTCATGTACAAGAAAGAAATTCTCATTTTAGACGTTGCACGTCGTTAGGGAAGCTGTTGAAAACAAAAAGCGAATTGCTCTATTTTCATTATACATTATACAGTAGTCTCATTTTAAACATCACAAGAATGTCTGTTAATGTGATCATAAGGAAATGCTGAAGTTTGAGGTCAAGTGTTCTTTAACATCCAACATGAATTGAGATTCGTCCACTGTTTACAACCCAGTGCAACACAAAAACATCAACAAACAGCAGACGACAAGTCAGGTCAGTTTTATCCATGCATTACAGGTCCAAATTAAAATGGTTATAGGTGCCTTTGCAATCGGTAAAAAATATGACACCCGTAATTCTGACCCCCTTAATTTAGACCCTTGATTCAAATAAGAAAAAAATCGACATCAGCGCATCTGCTTACTCAGAAGGAGACGAGAGATGCTGTAAAAGAATGAAGCAGTTAACTGTAGACCACACGTGTTGCATGAGCAGTTATGAAAAAGAAAAACAGCCTTGATTAAATAGAGGATGAATGTCAGGGTGAGAGAGGACATCCATATTTGCCATGATGAGCAGGCTGGAAGCAACATGTATAATGAGTTTAAAGCAAGTCACAGATTTTGCTTTATGCTGACTTAAATGAAACCGGAGTTTACTAGTTCTATTTCTCTTTTCAACCGTTGTCATAGTAAGTCCCTCCATGAAATCTTATCTACCTACATATACCACTGCTGTCTTTGCAATTCTACCCAAATGTTGTTTTATATTTGGGTTACAGATGTAGCATTTATAAGTATTTTTCTCTTTCAGGATGGATCGCCATTTAGACGAGAATGGAAACTTGTGTAGTCAAGCCAGTTCAGTAAGCACCACAATTTCAACATGTGTGATACAACAGATGTAGCAGTGGTTACTTTATTTGTTCAGTTCATGCACAGTTGAGTCAGTATTGTACTCATTAAGTGGATTTAAGAAACTGTGCTAACCTAACTTGTGTTTTTAGAGTCTGCAGTACAGCAAAAATTACATCAGTGCACGAGTGCAACAGTTTGTGGAGGAAAGGATGCAGACAACTATGGTATGAAATAATTCAAAATCAGCTTGTGCTTTCAGCAAGCTAGGATAGCATTTTGTGTTGCCATATCCTCTGTTTTTTAGTCCAGTTATGCTGCCTTATATTCACTGATCAGGTTAAATAGCTTTGGATGGGTTGTGGTCATGTGAAATACTTTTTGTAGACCATTTGGGCAGTTTCCACTGATGGAAAGTTAAGGCTACATCAACCTCTCCACACCTCTGATTAGTATGGTATGAATGAAATTGATAGGACACTGAGTTTGGTAGCCTTGGCTTGATACTCAATGACCAATAGCTGACTGTTGGATCCAAATTTGATTTTAGTTTATAGCAGTTTTTTTCCTCACCAAATTGTTGTTTTGCCATAGCCCTTAGATCACTGAGATAAAAGACATGTTAATGCTTATATCTATTCATATAAGTAAAGACATTTGATAGTTCAGTATAAAATTACCCAAAAGATTTTGTAGAAAAATGTTTTATTAATGTAACTTGGGTTTGGAGATTTAGTCGAATCAGGTAACACTATATTCATAAAGCATATTTGCATTTGTTATTACGTAAAGCAAGTACAAAACTTGTGCTCTGTCCCAAGTAAGCAGCTCCTCCATTTCCTTTGCATATTTCAGTGTGGCACAGTGTTGTACAGCACACTCACATCTAGTGTGTTTTTATATAGCTTTATGTAGTATGCTGTTTATTGAGTAATTTTTTCATTTTGAACACAATACATACTCAAACCTGCTTAGAATCAATATGTACTGTTTAACCGGCACACAGCCTTGGACTTTGAAGGATAATGTTACTAAACCAGCAACTCGGTGTTCTACGCTACATGCAGTCACACTGCAATGCTTTCTCGTGTGACTATACTGCTGTTGTACTGCTCTTGTCTGTCTTCTAGCTCACAGGTGTACTGATTGGAGCGGCAGTTGCAGTCTCACTGATTGGGATTGTGGTTCTATTCCTTTACAGGAGATTCAGGCTTGCCCGTGAGTCTTTCAGCATCTTTCTAAGCTTCATATTTATTCTCTTGCTATAAAATCTATTTCGTTTCTTGTGTATGTCAAATGATAAGGCTTTTCATATATGTCCTCTTCAGCTGTCTTCCAAATGTGGTCTTGATGCGACTCTTATGCATATTGTGTTTGGCTTGTTTGACAAGGTGAACAACAGCCTGGTGTACCTCAGTATCGTTTCAGAAAAAGAGATAAAGTGCTCTTCTATGGAAGGAAGATAATGCGAAAGGTTTACTTTATTTCCATTTCTGTCTCACACTCATACACACACAGTCTAGTAGATTCATTTTTGTAGACAATTTAGTTAAATGCACTAGTCTTTAATATGTATTTGCATAATTATTTAATGATTGCTGTATATTTGCATGAAATATATTCCACTATAACTGTTGTTTGTAGTAGCTTGTGCACCCTACTATGGTAGGACTGAAAATGACTTGCGTGCATATTGTTTAGTGAAAATGTTGATCATCATAATAACATTTCCTCCTTGATTTACTCAAGCTATATAACTTATTTTCTTCACATCTGTGTCTGTTAAATAATTGCACACTTTTTTAGGACAAAAATACAAAGCTTTTGTCTGATTACAGGAACAAACAAACTTTTTTTTTTCTTTTTCTTTTTATGTAAGGTCCAGACGCTGTCTGCAGTTCCTCCCCCCACCTCTGCCTCAGTATCAAAGCAACCACAACGCATACGCAAAAGAACCAAAGTTCTGAGCATAGCTCGCAAGTATACATCAATAGTAACTTTTTCACTATTCTTCTGTATGTGTGCATGTGAAGCCTTGTAACCTTTATAATTTAGTGTTGGTGAGGATACTGACTAGCGGAACTTGTTTAAAAATGTTTTTTTCTGCCAAAAGAATTCTTAGGATCCGTAAAGACCCCCCCACTCTGCAGCCCAAGGAACCCCCTCCCTCACTGCTGGAGGCTGACCTAACAGAGTTTGATGTTCAGAGTTCAAACCTCCCCTCTGAGGTTCTCTATATGCTGAAGAATGTCCGGTAGACCAATATACAGCTTTTCCTAGATTTAGCCAGAATTGGCTGCTCCCACTGTTTTTTGAATGTGTGTATTCTGCAACTTGTTTTAGGGTCTTGGGTCATTTTGAGAAGCCCCTGTTCCTGGAGCTGTGTCGCCACATGGTATTTATTGAGCTGCAAGAGGGTGAATGTTTGTTCAGGCCTGGAGATGAAGACGATAGCATCTATGTGGTCCAGGACGGACGACTCGAGCTCTGCATCCAAGAGAATGTATGTGGGTAGCATGTTAACTTTCTTTTAAGATTCACTTCATTTGATTTTCTCATAAAGTGTTTCTTGTAAACTTTCACATTTTTTGAGTAACTTGCCTGTCATACATAGCTACTGATCCATTGTTGATATACAAAAATTTCACAGAAGTATTAAATGGTATCTCCAAGGCTCTTGTTCCTGAGTTATAAACTTGCTGAAATGAGTCAAGATGGTTAAGAAATATGACTAACAAACATGTTTGTTATACATGATGCTAAAAGTGGAACAGCAATTGTGCTTCTGATTATTAATTTGAAATTGCATCTTTATGAAATGTGAAGTAAGGGCTTATGCACACTTCCTCTTGTGTAATTTCTATTTTATTGTCCTCTACCTTCCAATACCATGTGCATAGTTCATGGAAAAATATGAACAGGAGAGGGCAGTAATGCAGCATTGAAGTAGATTGCATTTTGCCATTTAAGATCACAAAAAATAGATGAGGAATGGAGCTGTTTCACACTTATTGTTTGTATTTAAACATGTTTTCCTGTCTGTTCCTTGGTTTTGTAACTATGTACAAATAACAGGGTCAATCCCCATTTCATGATTTAATTCTTACAACTCTCCCAGTTGTAGCTAGTTTTGAGGTTCTCCTCCCATTCCTCCAGAATCCTGCTGATGTGATTTAAATATAGAAGATGTATGCGGCTTCATGTAAATTTTGAATCGACTGTTTTGGGTGTCTTTTTTTTTTTTTGATTTAGGATGGTACAGAACCAGTCGTGAAGGATGTACTTCCAGGAGACAGTGTCCACAGCCTGCTCAGTATTCTGGATATCATCACTGTGAGCTCCTTACCTCTCCTCCATCTGAACATCAGATTAACTTCTTTGCTTTTGTCCTCTTTTTGCCCTTTGTTCTGCCTGTGTCTGAGTGCTGCCGTTTCTCCGCTGTTCCTATTTCTACTCGGTTGTCTCGCTTAGAGATTATTCTTTTTGTACTTGCTATTCAGCTCAGTGAGTTACATTTGTAATTTGTTGGAGAGATGCTTTTTTCCATTGCTTGTGACATCATACTCTCTTTTACTCATCCATTCAGATGAAAACCAATGTGTCTTTTTGAATTCTTATGATGATGAAGAATGTGCATTTGATTAGTCTGTATGTTGAAGTTTCATGAAAATTCTGGAAAAGACGACTTTTTCTTTTTCAAAACACATATTGTTACTGTTCAGAATGGTTTATAGTGAATATTAACTAATTAACCAAACACTGCACATTTAGAAATTGAAGCATAAAAAAATGAGGCATTGTCACATTGGCCAACACCCATCCATCCAACCAACCAACATCTGAGGTGACAGTGCTAACCACTGTGTCCCCATGTTGCCCTGTGCAAACATCCTAAATTGTAAATGTATGTGTAAGCACAAAGAACAGTCATATAAAATGTCCTAATTCTATGGACTCTGAGGTGGGTGCTAACATGGAGGACAAAAGTTTGTGTTACTGTTCCCTCTGTTTTTGCAAATTTTGTAACTGCGTTTTCCTTCCTTTTTCAGGGTTATCCAGCTCCATACAAGACTGTGTCAGCACGGGCAGCAACTCGCTCCACCATCTTACGTTTACCTGCATCAGCCTTTGAGTCAGTATTTAAGAAATACCCAGAGACGCTTGTGCGTGTTATTCAGGTAATGCAATGACTCCCCCCCCAAAGAAAAAAAAACACAGTATGTTGTTTCTTTTCCCTTGAGACAATTCTTCCTCCCCCAGGAACACCATCATATAAGAAAGTTGTTTTTGACCCTATTTGGATGTAGCTACAATCTGATGAAGAATATGTTCTGCTCTGTTTACCTCAGTGTCAAATTTTGTGTGTTGCAGATAATCATGGTGCGCCTCCAAAGAGTCACTTTCTTGGCATTACATAATTATCTGGGCCTAACAACTGAGCTCTTCAATCCGGTAGGAGGGAAATTAATTAGTGCACACATATTTGTGTGTATACACACACAATGATGGAGAGGGGCTCAGTAAATACCTAAGCACTGGTTATGAATGTGTTCATAAGAAAGCATAGGAAGGCACATACACGTTTAGCCACACACATGCAAGCTAATTTCACACAACGTTAAGCACAGCATCATAACTCGGGTCTTCATCAAGCCTGGTGAAAATTAATAAAATGATTACAGCACTTCCACAGAAAACGGGGGTGGGCAGTAATTTTTCAGCCTGGCTTGCCTCTGACCTTAGGATGACCAGAAATACTTCTAAATTGTGTCATTTTTGGGACAATTTCTGAAGACCTTTCTTGATAATTTTGGTAAAATAAGTCCAAATATTCTCAGATGAGTAATAAATTAAATTCTATTGGGTATTAACAAGAAAGTGACATCAGCTTCTGAAGAGTTTCACAGATTGGTAATTGTATGAAGAATATGGGCATAAAATGAACTGCCTCTTCACCAAAAACAAGCCACTTTCTGTTGAAGGCTCTTCTGAGAAGCTCCTTTCATTACATGTGTTAACCTGTGAACTTCCTTTCATGCTGGTGATTTGATAGGAGTGTCTAGCAGTGCCCTTGACAAACATAAACAGTGTGATGATGGGTGAAGCCAATTCTGGGAAGATGACTCGCCGGCTGCACTTCCAGGAGGAATTATCTGCTGGGATCTCAGAGACCCCTGCAGAAACAGGTCACAGTCACACACACAAATTCTAAACATGCACTACACACACATTTAAAATTGTGCTTTGTGTCGCATTGAGACTGATTTAGTGTTGGCACTTGGCTACATTAAGCAGATGGTTTAAAGGACAGCCCTTCAACCAGCTACAGGAAGCAGCGATCCATCTCTATGCCCACCGACTGCACAGGTGGGTCACTGTCTTGCACGTAAGTGATCACCAGATGGCTGATATGTGTGTATTAATTTCCTGCACACATTTATCACAGTCACTGATCTGAAAGCAAGGATACACACATACTTAGAGATGCAGTCATACTCATTATCCTCCTCCTTACAGGCATTGACCTGAACATGGCTTGTGAACGAGCTCGAGTCATGATAGATGAGGCTCCATCCAGTCCTGTTATTCACAAAGTAAGACTCTCCTGACTTATCTTTTTACATTCAATCAGAAGTTGGCTGTTTATATGTAACAACATATCCCAGCCTCCAATAAATCATATCCTGCTGCTTGCCTTCCTTAGTTTGTTTCTTATGTCTGTCTCTTTAGTCCAGTCTGAAGAAGAATGTGATAATGCTGCACACACCTTCTGAAGTTTATCACTATACAGACAGTGGGGGGCACTCTGATGCCATCCACCTCAGTAAAAGTAGCACAATCTTCCAGGCTGCTAAGAAAGACCTGCTGAGAATCATCCAGCTGCAGGTGAGAATTGTGCATGTACTGTATGATTTACAGTGTGACACATTTAATGGTAAATACTGATGGCAGGTGTACATCAGGAGAGTCTCTTGTCTTCATGCTGTTATAATAAGCAGATATTCATATTTTACTTTTCTTTTGCAGAATCCCAGTCTACTTGAGGGTAGAGTGACACTCCATCAAGTCAAAGCTGGTTCTGTGGTGGCTCGTCAGGGAGACCAGGTTAGAACAGCACCTTAAAAAGCAGTTGCACCTTCTTTTCTCTTTCATGACACTAAAGGTTTAGTGTAAGAGTTTTTCTGTTTTCATTTGTCTGTTTTGTCTGTGATGGCTCCTATCTTTTTGCCAGCTTTAATTTAACTCTTATTTTATTTTGACAGAGTTTATAACGATACAAGTTCAAGTATGAGTGCAGCTCTAGTCCATTCCTTTTTTTCTGTTATGTTTTTTTCTTTTTTGCTTAATTTGGCAGCATTTTCCATGGCCACGTTGCAAAGTGGAATTTGAAGACAGTAGCCAATAAATATTAAAGGGAGAATTCATATCAATATTGAACTAATGTTGTCATAATTACTGTGAAATAAATGTTTGATCTGACAACAGATTCCATTAGCACACTTGTGTCTGGGCATTCACCTTCAGAATGTCACATCTGTGCTCTTCTCTCTCTCTCTCCCTCTCTCTCTCTCCTGTTGGTGCTTTAGGAGGTGAGCATACAGTTTGTGATTTCTGGCCTCCTCCATGTTTACCAGCGAATGATTGACCGAGAAGAAGAGACACGCCTGTTTGTGACGCATCCCGGAGAACTGGTCGGTCAACTTGCTGTCCTGACGGGCGAGCCCCTCATATTTACTGTCCGAGCCCAGCGAGACTGCAGCTTCCTCTCTATCTCCAAAACCCACTTCTATGAGTCAGTCATGTGCACATACATGCACACAAATTAATGTATTTCACATATGTAATATTGTGTACTGCCTTACAAAGTAAAGAGTAGTAAGTACAGACAAGTTGAGAAAAAAGGGGTTTTAAGTTTAAAGGCCAAACTTTGTAACAGATATAAATGTTGTAAAACATGGATTTTATGATCTTTTATCAAACTTGCATAAAATCTAAAAAACATTACTGCATGTTAGAAAACTCAGTGGTATGGCAAGAAAACAATCAGAGCATGCTCTTGTTCTTTATCTTTGTTTTTTGCTGAAAGCAAAAATAAATTCATCTTGAATTAAATGTAATAAAACACAATTTAAAAGTAGTTCAGCCACAAGAAATGACATGAGTTTCACATTACTATGCTAGTTAATGTTTAGCAGGACTGGTTTTGATATGTTCTCCCCCCATTTTGATTTAAGATTCAACTTATTGTCTTATATATGCGGGGGGGGATAAATGAATAAGATGTTAGAACACCAAAAGAAATTTTTCAGTTCCATGAAACAGGAAAAAGTGGGTAATTTGGGTGTAGCTAACTTGGTTTCATCAGTTAGTCTTAAATAGAGTGCAGTGACTGAAGTTTTTACTTTTACCTTGCCTTTGCCGTTTTTTTTTTTTTTTTTATTGCAATGTATTTTTCTCACAAAAATTACACATTTCTATGGTGCGATATGTTTTTTGATAAGACATCAAAAAGTCAGATTTTGTTCTTAACTCAGCTTTGACGAAATATTATTTGTGTTTTTGCTTTATAAGGCAGTGGAGAGAGTAGACCAGTGTCAGTGTAGAGTAGTATACTTCCCTATACTTAAATCAACAAAAGCATTTTTAATAGCAATGAAGATGGCTGTGAGAATGTTTAACCTCTTTTTTTTCTGTTATGTGTCTCTAACCCAGGATAATGCGTGTGGAGCCAAACGTTGTTCTGAATGTTGCTAACACAGTGGTGAGGAGGATGTCCTCTTTTGTCAGACAGATAGACTTTGCTCTCGACTGGATGGCGGTGGAAGCTGGCAGGGCTGTCTACAGGTATTTTAATGATCAAATTGTTTATCTTGGATAAAAGCTATGTTAACTGTGTAGATATTTCTGCATTCATGTCATTGCATTCAAATCAGCAGAGGCAACACAGTTTTTAAATTTGGTCCATAAGCTTGTTTACAGATGTGCAGTGAGTTTAAGTTATCTGGATATTTTTTCAGGCAGGGAGAGAAATCAGACAGTACTTTCATAGTGTTGAGTGGTCGACTACGCTCTGTAATCATGAAGGAGGATGGCAAGAAGGAGCTGATAGGAGAATATGGACGCGGTGACCTGATTGGAGTGGTAAGGACCATGATAACATAGGGGGAAAATGGATGGTGGACAGTGGATGGAAAAAGTATGAATATATATAATGTGTGCTCTAGGTTGAGATTTTTTTTTCACTTGCATGATGAATATTAATGATTGTAGTTCAGCATTTTTTTAAATACCTGTCAAAAATGTGCAGATTTATATATGAGGTGGCAAGTTTTCACTTCAAACATACAGTATGACAATATGACTACCATCACTGCCAGTAAATAACACATTTTATAAAATACATCGTATGAATAACTAGGGTATAAAAATAACTAAACACTAGTGGCAAACCGGCTGAGATTGCTTCCAAATCAAAGTAATCAAGATAACAATCTGAATTATCCTTAACGTAGTGCTTGTATGCGAATGGAGAAAAATGGTAAATAACAAGCCAAAACGTCACCAGCCAGTGTGCTGGAGGGAGTGTGGGTGTGCAAGTCGCAGTTATCTGCTCATATTTCATCTTGTTTGTTTATGATTAAACCTGTGTAAGAAGAAACTCTGAGTACATATCAGTACATTTGTCAAGCATATACAGTATAACACTGTTACAGATGTTGGTTTTTCATGTTGGTTAATGCCCAAAATGTATGCTAATGCCAGTACTATGTAAAGCGAAGTCACTGTAACAGTCATTTCCCAATGATTGGTGCATCTGGTCTCTGCCATGATGCTTCTAATAATACCTAAGTTGATGGATGCTATGGTTACTGTTACCCGGAGGAGGAAAACTGTCACTGAAACTTCTGTGATGATGGGAATAACCTTGTTACAAAACTGGCTAACCTTCTGCTGTGTTGACATCAACTCTGGATGACGAGAGGGAGAGACCTTGTTTATAACTTCTTTTTTTTTTTTTTTTTTTTACTTGAAATGAAGTGAATAGTACAAGGATCAACAGAGTAATTAAAAATGAAAGTTGATTTTAAACTTGCATATTACAAAATAAATGAAGCTCTTGGAATGATCTACATGTATAAAATTGTTTTAAAATATGGTTAGAGCTTCATCTAAGATACAATTATGATTAAACAACCTACTTTAACTAATATCACAAATTATGTTCTTGTCCATATTGAGTACTTCATTGAAACATTCACAGCATAGGTTGGAAAAAGATATGTGGACTGTCTGCAAAACATCAGCACACCACATGTTTGTTTAACAGCGCCCTGACACTTTACAGTGCTATTGGAAAAATATTGTGTGGGCTTAACCCAGGGAGTTATTTATATTTGTAACTTGGATGAAGATCAGATCACATCCTATTACTAAATAATGCAGAAAATTAGGTGATTCCACAGGGTTCACCTACTTTTCCCTGCCATTGTACAAACATTTTTTTTTTATGCAAGTGGAATATTCTAAAAATTATTTATCTTTTAAGTAACAATTATAACTGTTTGGTACTACATTATGTTATGATTTGTAATGCTTAGGAACAATTGAGGTTCATTCTTACTTTAAGTCAACTTTTTTGCTTTTTGACCAAACAAACAGCTTGTGTCCTTCATTCTTCAGGTAGAGGCTCTCACACATCAGAACAGAGCGACCACGGTGCACGCTGTTCGAGACTCTGAGCTGGCTAAGCTACCAGAAGGAGCTCTCAGGTCCATCAAGAGGAGGTTCCCACAGGTAGAATGAACTTCATGTTAAATTTAGCATATGTGAGAACAGTTGATTTATTGTGAATAGGACAAGTGTGTGTAGTGATTTCCTGAAGGTCACCTTAGAGAATGAATAAACTTGATTGACACTAACCTCTAACAAGGAAATTGGATAGTAATTTGGATTCCCTAAATTATTTACATTTACTTTTATCAATATGTTGAATTTAAAATGAAAGTACTTAATATGAATTACAATTTAAAGAAAGCACTGCAGTACCCATGATGATGAAACTGCATCTGTCTGCCTGATAAGTAACAGAGCTGTTTCTAACATGTCTGTGCTTTTCAGGTTGTCACCAGGTTGATCCATTTACTAGGACAGAAGATCCTGCAGCAAGTCAATGGTCCTCTGACAGGTGTGTGTGTGTCTACCTGTGCAGTGTTGTCTATAATATTTGGTTTTGACTTGCAGTATCCTGTTGCAATCCATTCTGTGCGTGCTGTATCTCATTCTAACTTAGGGTAGCTTAGGGTTGTCCCACTAGCTTTGCTGTTTAACACAGCTTTCTGTGTAAGGTGAAAATGTACTAATATGTACTTCTGACCCCAGCTCGGAGTTTGGCGCTCCACACTCCCGGCAGCAAGTGGGATGCAGGGAACCCAGTCTCCAACCTCTCCACTGTGACAGTCCTGCCTGTGTCAGAGGAGGTACCCCTCACTGCCTTTACTCTGGAACTGCAGCATGCTCTTATTGCAATAGGTAAAAGAAAAAATAACTGTAGGTCTTAAAATTTGTGTAGTCATTTTGTATTATGGGTATTACAGCATATCCCCTCTGGCTCCCCCCAGTAGTAGAAGAATCTTAGAATTAGTTTTTCATTACAATGTGCATTTGAGTCTTCAGGGACTAGCTGTAAGAGGTGTAACAAACCTGGTGTGTTTGTGTGTTTCAGGGCTTGGAAAATGCAGTTCAAACTATTTGTAGTCTCAGTGTAGCTCTCTTGTTTACTTTATTTTAATATTTAGATTTCTCAAAGTGCTGTATGTGTGATGACTGACAGAAAGGTATTTCTGGAACAGAAACTACCTATAATAAACTGCCAAATTGTATTCCTCTTGATACTGTATGTAAAAGCAGCTACACCTTAAGAGAGGTCACAAGATTAGCCCAGTGCTTCAACCAGGCCCACTGGCTGTAACTGCAGTGTGCTTTCACATACAGGTCCAACTCTTGTGCTGACAAGTGATATTATCAAACAACGACTTGGAGCTGCAGCACTAGACAGGTATATTTTGTGACATAAGGTGTCTTCAACACCTGTTAAATAAGTTATATAAGCAACAGTCTTGAACAACTATCTCAACATGTAATCTGTCCAACAGCATTCTTTCTTTCTACCTCTCTCATTAAATTCAGTTTAAGTTTGCTTTATTGGCACAACAGCAGAATTGATTTACTGAGTGCTGCTAGGCAGTGCTTTCTGTCTTTAATGGACTCCTTTACTTTTCAGTGTCCATGAGTACCGTCTGTCAAGCTGGCTAGGCCAACAGGAAGACATCCATCGGATAGTGCTTTACCAGACAGACTACACGCTGACCCCATGGACACAGCGGTGCATCCGTCAGGCTGACTGCATCATCATTGTGGCTGTAGGGGAGCAGGAGCCTGTTGTTGGAGAGGTGAGGTTATAGGGGTAGGTTAGAAGTGTATTAAAAGCAAAGGCGGCGATTAGCTATAGAAGTCCAGCATTTGCTTGATTGATTTGCAGCTGCAACTAATGATTATTTTCAAATAAATATCTCAGTTAGTTTTGAAAATGAAAGGATTATGTATTTGTTCTGTAAAATGGTGAACATTATCCAAAGGCCAACATTTCAAATAGTTTGTTGTATCGAACCATTAGCAAACCAAAGATGTTTTTTTACTTGGCTTGCAATTGTACAGAACAGAGAAAAATGACAAATCCTCAGATTTTGAGAACATAAAACTGTTGAATTTTCAGCATTTGTGTTTTTTTTTTATAATTTAAAAACAAAATTACTGAAAGGGTGGAGCTGGTGATGTTTGGTGATTTTTGTTGTGATCAAATCCCATGAAAAGCCAAACTAACAATGCAGTAATCAATTCTTTGACTTCTACTGCCTGTCTGGAGGCTTGGTAAGTCAATTTCATTAGGTAAAGTAAAGAAAACCAAACTCATCCAAAGACAAAAAAGGTGGTGTTTTCCCCCTGTGCTGATTTGTGACAGTTTGAACATAATAAAAGGAAACATCTCAGGGATGTGGGTGTTTGAACCTTGTTTTGTGCATTTTAATTCAGTATTATTACCTAAAACCAACATTATGCAGACAGAAATTAATGGTGTATTTGTTAGTGACTATTTGGTTAAGCTACTGATTATTTACTGCAGCAGGATTGTGTATGTGACACTGACCTAAAATACCCATGTTTGTTGCAGTGAGGGAACATGTGCAACAGTGTGACTCACTAATGTGTTTTTAATGTAGATGATAATGAAGGTCTTTGGAAGAGAGAAATAAGATACAGGCTTTAGATACACAGACAATAATTGTGAGGACCAATTCAGTATTGGTTTTGATCTTTTCATGGGATTTGTTAACTATTTGAAGTTTATGAATTTCACTAGAGTTATTCTTAAAATAGCTTTTGTGGGTAAATCATCACACCGGTTTTTTATGAAGCTTTTGTTCAGTCTGCACTCTGCAAGCATGCTATCATGCAAAGATCTTGGTAGAGTAGATCTGTCTGATTTGATAATGTTTTGCTCTTGAATCATGATTATACCCAGGAGTTTAAACAATTTGATAGCCATACAGCCTTTGTGGCTTGTATTTGACCCTTGGGCATACAGGAGAATTGAGCATGGAACGTGTGAAAATGAGGCAGGGAAGTTAACAAGGAAGTGCACGTCCAGGTGCGGGTAATTGCTTTCACAGGGGAAAAATGGGCAAAGGATTGTATCATTGTTTAACAGAAGACTGTGGGAGAATTGGGAAGATGGATCAATATTTACTCAGCCACAGAATGAGTCATAGCTTGGCATTGATTTTTATCTTCCAGGACACACACACACACAGACACCCTCTCACCTTGCACATACATGGCACCTTTAGCAGATGGCCTATTGACTGGGTGGCACATCTGACATTCTCCTCAGACTGCTCATTCAGCAGTGTTGAAATGTGACTGAATTAAATGAAAATGTAATTTAAAAAATCACTTCTCAAATACCTGCCTAATTTTGCTTCTGTTGCTTTGGTGTGCTACCCAAAATGTAATATATACAAAAATTCCCCATTGTACTTAAAGTCTGTTCCTGTGCTGCCAGGATTAGTGCCTCTGTGCTGTCTTTCAGTCCAGCTTTATCCAGCCACTGGTAGGATTTTTCGATATCAGCCACTTCTTCTATTTGATGGTGGTACATACCGTGAAGAGGTTTGTCCTTCCATGAGGGTTCCTGCTCTTCCTTCCCTTGTTCCTCTGGTTTCTGCTGCCTGAGGTATTCACTAAGCACGTCATCACTCGGGGTCATCTTCCTGACGTATTCATGGATCTTTGTTATTTCATCCTGGATAGTGGCTCTGACGCTCACTAAGCCATGGCCTCCTTCTGCTTAGTGTACAGTCTCAGGATGCTGGACTTGGGGTGAAACCTGCCGTGCATTGTAAGGAGCTTCCTTGTCTTGATGTCAGTGGCCTCTATCTCCTCCTTTGGCCAGCTTATTATGCCAGCAGGGTACCTGATGACCGGCAGGGCGTAGGTGTTATTCGCCCGGACTTGGTTCTTTCCATTCAGCTGACTTCTCAGGACTTGCCTTACTCTCTGCAGGTACTTGGTGGTTGCTGCTTTCCTTGCGGCCTCTTCATGGTTCTCATTTGCCTGCGGGATCCCAAGGTACTTGTAGCTGTCCTCCACATCTGCTATGTTGCCTTCTGGTAGTACAATCTCCTCAGTTCTGACTAGCTTCCCTCTCCTCGTTACCATTCGGCCACACTTATCCAGTCCGAATAACGTTCCAATGTCCTGGCTGTAGATCCTAGTGGTGTGGATCAGTGAGTCGATGTCTCGTTCACTCCTGGCATACAGCTTGATGTCATCCATGTAGGGACAGCAAGAAAACGGTTCTACAACTGGAGGTGAGCATGTTAGAGGAAATGGCCGTATGTGGTTCTGTTGGTATCTTTCCTGTACTTATTGTGAGCCCTAAAGACAGGTTGGCAAGACACAGTTACATCAGTAAAACTAAAGACATCACCAGTTAAAAGTTTGTTTTTGGAATCTACTGGGTGTAAAATCTACACAGTTAAGTGAAAGCCCATTATTTAATTAACAATCTTGTTTAAAATGTGCCGTTGTAAAGCTTTTCACTGATGTAGAGACAACAGACTGATAGTACGCAGGACCTTTTAGGCTTTGTCTCTTATCTCCAGAACAATTATAGATTTAAAATTGAGAACTAATAAATAGGCTTCTCTGTAGAATTAATCCAAATTGCAAATAAATTATTATAAATGACTTAAACTTGTTATGGCAATGGCAGTGTGAAACTATATGAATGCATGATGCTTCTGTATAAACTACGTCATTAGTTACAGTGAGTGTTGATGGCCCCAGAATTATATTCTTTCATGTGGCCCAAAATCTCTAGCAGCGCCCTGAGTGTAGCTGTTCAGATGGTGAATGTCAAAATGAAAGTCCACCTGGAATTAATCCTTTATTTTTATCCCTGAAAACACATCTGTAACTATTCCCAAACATGAGCACAAAATTGCAGTCACATACCTGTAGAGATACTGATAGTATCCTTACCTTGTGTAGTCTGTAGTAGTCACAAGTTTGTAGTATTTTCCTGGGCCAGTCATCAAACTTTTCATCGTTCCATCTGGCAGGCGGTGCACAGAAGCTATTCTGAAGAAAATGAGAATAAAATGTTCTCTAACATTTGTGCTTGATGCCTTCGCTCTAGCTGGAGCGTATGTTGGAAGGAAGTGCAGTGCGTGCTCAAAAGCAGCTGGTGCTGTTGCACAGAGAAGATGGTCCCCCACCCAAAGGAACTGCGGACTGGCTCAACATGCGAAGCTGGATCTCCAGACACCTCCATCTCTCCTGTCCCCGAAGGGTTTTCTCTAAGAGGAGTCTGCCCAAACTGGTAAGAATGGAAAATATGGCCAGTATGTGTGTCTCTCTCCCTCTCTAATATTTCATCTTCAGATCAAAACACTTTGTTCCCTTCTGGCTATTACCCTCTTAGCCTCTCATTTAGTTCTTGTCATGGTCTTTTCTTTCTTATCCACATATGGTCTCTATGGCACCTACATAGTTTACCATACAGCATATCAAGTTCCTATCCGTCTCACTCCTCATTACTTTTATTATAGTCTTTTCCCTTGTTTTTCCAGCTGGAGCTATACCAACGTGTGTTTGAGAAGCCAGCAGACCGCCATTCTGATTTCTCCCGCTTGGCACGAGTCCTCACGGGCAATGCCATTGCCCTTGTCCTGGGAGGAGGAGGGGCCAGGTAACATTCACCCCACTGTTACTTTTCACAGTCAGCCTTCCTTTTTAAGTTCATATCATAATATATTGTTATCTAGGACATGAAAACTTTATATATTTATTTGTCTGCCCTCCTGTCCAGGGGTTGTTCCCAGGTGGGGATAATGCGGGCTCTCTGCGAGGCCGGCATCCCAGTGGACCTCATTGGCGGTACTTCTATAGGTTCCCTGATGGGGGCACTATATGCTGAGGACCGTAGCCACAGCCACATGAGGATAAGGGCCAGAGAATGGGCAATGGTGAGTCAAAGTAATAAAAACAACATAAGACTTTTGTAATAAACCTTGTAATAACCTAATTATTAAGAGCCAATGATGGTTTGAGTTGCATCACAAATTGTGTGTCACTTATCATTCAGCTCATTTCTCCATACTCATATAACTCAGTATTTTTTTTGGGGGGGGGGTCTCCTTTATTAGTTAGGACACATTATAGTTGTGACAGGAAATTAGTGTAGAAATATGGAAAAGAAATATGCTTCCAGCACAGATTTGAACTGAGGACGTTCTGATTGCAAGGTCAGCATTATTAGTTCTTAGGCCACCAGGACACCCCACAATTTGTAACTGCTGTATTATATTTGCTTATAGCAAAACTTTGACTGTTTATGACCTTGATCAAGCATCTTCAGGATGTCACAGTACATATCAATCAGCTCCTTGTGGAGCTTGGACAGATGCTACAAATGGAGGGTTTTTATTTTCTCTAGAATTTGTTCATAAAATTGTGACAAATTTAAGTGGGATCATTTTCTAGATAGTAAATAAACAGTAGTCTGTTTTGAGAAGAAGAGCTGACTTCAACAGGTCCTCCTCCAATTGCCCCAGTTTCTCTTGGAGAGAGAAATATTAAGTAGTTTCAATGTCCTGGATTCGGATGCTTCACAGGCTGAGTCTGTCCTTGTGACTGTGACTCTTGCTAACAGCAACTGATTTAATTCTGATGGTGTTCAATTCTGCTATGTAACTAACCATGGTGTGCTGATTAACCATGAAGAGTAATGAGTCAGTGTTGTACGTAAAGCTCTGGATGGTTTTTATATTATACTCATGAACAGAACTTTAGTTGAGATATGAAATTCATTCTCGTGTGTTTAATACTGTGACCAACCACGATAGCCAATTTAAGGCAATTTGTCTTTCTCCAGTGTTTAGCCCCTCCTCTTCTGGCTCTGTCCTTGGTTCTAAACACCTCCTGCAAAAGCAGCTGCATGGGTTTCGGTAAAGATGTTAAAGAACCACTGTCAATTAACAGATGATGAATAAAGTGATGAAAGGACAGTTAGATTTGTTGATATAATCATTTGTTTAATGGGGGAATGAATATATGTTGTTTTTTTTTTTTTATTATTTACATATTATTACGAAAATCATGTATACATACAGCAAGGAAGGAATGATGATTTAAAAACTTACACAGCATCCACACAAACAAATCAGTATCCAACTTTTTTTAAAACATCAACTTAAACTTTAATTTTGAAGAATTCATCCTCCTTAGTACTTGAGGAAATGGCACATCCCTTAACCTTTGTCTCCTGCTTTTGCTGTAGGGTATGACATCAGTGTTTAAGAAGGTTTTTGATTTGACGTACCCAGCCACCTCCATGTTCTCCGGCGCTGCCTTCAACTCCAGCATCAGCAATGTCTTCAAGAGTAAGCAAATTGAGGTGGGTGAGATTAGGTCACCAAAATCCCTGCAATAGTACAGAGATGGCACTGAATTAGTTTCAGCCAGTTAAGATGCAGAAAATTCTGGTGGTGGTGCAGTATAAGCAAATTTATCCCGTGAACTTGGGAGTATCTTATCTGTTTTGTTTTAACTTATTGTGCATGCAGGACCTCTGGATCCCATATTTCAATATCACAACTGACATCACTGCCTCAGCCATGAGAGTACACACTGATGGTAGGTACAGTATTGTCCTTTTTGTAAAAACTTAAACCTTAAAGGCTCAGTTCACCCAGAGTGAAGGGTTTTTGGACCTTACCGCTGCAGTTTCTGTTTCTATTTGAGATAACTGCCCAAGTTGTTCTCATTGGTGAACTGACCCTGCATTAGCCTCATTCATGAGATTATTATCTGTCACTTCAGGTTGGTTGCTTTTAGTTAAGTGCATAGTGCTTAATAGGCATAAAATGTAAATTTCCTGTTTGCTATTTGAGGTTCTCTGTGGCGCTATGCTCGTGCCAGCATGTCTCTGTCTGGGTACATGCCTCCTCTCTGTGACCCCAAAGATGGACACCTACTGATGGATGGGGGCTACATCAACAACCTGCCTGGTTTGCTATACTTAGTTTTTTCCAGTTTTATTATTTTGTACCTTCTCTTTTTCCAAGTAACTTGTGTCTGTTCTCTCAGCTAAGTTCATTCATGTCATTTAACACTTTTACCATCTTTGATTGTTTGGTTGTTTTTTTTTCCCCACAAATATCTGTTCTTCCCCTTGCCCACCTTTGTTTCTGTCTCCTCATCTCCCAGCTGATGTGGCACGTTCCATGGGGGCCAAAGTGGTGATAGCTATTGACGTGGGCAGTCGGGATGAAACCAACCTCACTAATTATGGCGACTCGCTCTCAGGCTGGTGGCTGCTATGGAAACGCCTCAACCCCCTAGCTGAGAAAGTAAAGGTAATAGACTGATTAAAAATACAGACACAACAGACTGTGCAACATACGGTGAATACCAATGAGGACATGTTTCATGGTGTTTTTCAGTGATACATGTTCTTTTCTATGCTGGTGGTCTTAGGTGTTGAACATGGCAGAAATTCAGACTCGGCTGGCCTATGTGTGCTGTGTGAGGCAGCTGGAGTCTGTGAGGAACAGTGACTACTGCGAGTACATCAGGCCTCCAATTGACAGATACCGTACTCTGGAGTTTGGCAAGTTTGATGAGATTGCTGTAAGTTGGAAAAAATGGTGTGTACTCTTATGATTCTGCTTTCTTCTTTTCTCCTCAGCAGCAGGCTGTTTGTTTCTTAAGTCTTTGTTGTACTACTGTTCATGTTGTACTATGCATTATAAAAATGTTGATTTCTAAAGAAATATCAGACAAACTTGCACAAAGTATTCTGAATGAATTAACATTGTCTGGTTTATTGCTTAATGATTTTGCTTGATCATCAGTAGAGAAACCCGTTAAACCCTTTTTGATATGTGAGAGTTTGTGTGTGTCTGTGTGATGTAGGAGGTGGGATACCAGCACGGCAAGACTGTGTTTGATGTGTGGAGTCGCAGTGGAGTGGTGGAGAACATGCTGAAAGACAGACACCAGGAGTTCCACAAAACACAATGCAAGAACAATGTAAGGATGAAAGACAGGAAAACATGTGGGAATTCTGTATATAATATAACAAGAAAGCCAATAAGGATTGGTCAGTGCAGAGCAACAACAAAGTCTTATTTTTCTTGTGGGCTTGTCATGAGTGTAGATTCTGATGAAAACTTTGTAAACCAGTTTTTCCATATGACAATCACCTGTGACCAAATGAAATGAACAGCCAAAACAAGCAAGTTAGGCATCAAAACTAATTACTTACGAATAGAGTAGTCTCTCCACTGACCACCACCACTGTTATCGCTCTCCCTTATCTTCATTTTTAATTAGTGCATTTGCAGAAGTGGGGGACTTAAAAAAAAAAAAACATGAATTCTGATTTGACCGTTCTGACAGTGGTTGCATAGATCAGATATAAATCAGATTTAGTGAATGGGGTGTGGAAATTTTCTCCATCTTTGGCATAAAAAAAATAGTTTTTTTTCAGCAGTCCCCACAGTGAAACAGCTGGTTGTTATGTTTTTAATCAGTGTATAAAGGAAGAATGCATTATAATGTTTTAGCTGATGAGATGTTGACACCTGGCAGTTGGTGCAGCTAGACCACAATTGGCTAGTTATACCAGTGAATTAAAATAGAATGATGTCAATGTTCCTCTCACCGCTGGCTTAGTTTATTTTTAAGCATTTGAACTTTTTGTATTTTGTTTATATGTGTGCGTGCCTTTCAGGTGGTGACATGTCCAAATGCTTCCTTCACCGACCTGGCAGAAATTGTGTCCCGCATCGAGCCTGTCAAACCTGCTCTGGTGGATGGTAAAACTACAGACACACCGCAGCACTCAGCCACACTTTCTTCAGACCTGTACACAGTGTCTGAGAGAAGGCTTGCTCTTTGTTTATCCTCCGATGTGTGCTTTTCCGTGCACGCTCAGTTTTATTTTCAGATGGGTCCCTGTCATACTCTGTTGCCACATTAATCTGTTTCACTGGGAGGAAGGAGGATTGCTGGGTCCCCTCTGCACAAGAAATTTTAATATATCAATTATGTGTGTAGCACATGAGCATCTTGTAACATGCCGAAGGGAAAAAGTGAACATACATTAATTCAATTCAGTTTTATTTGTATAGCGCCAAATCAAAACAAAAATCATCTCAAGGCACTTTACGTAGTAAGGTCTAGACCTTACTGTTATTACTGAGGAAAAAGTACTAATTGAAACTAGTGCCTGTGCAAATGTAGTATTTCAAATTAAGCTTTTGCAATCAGAAATAATGTACATATTTAAATTATATATAGAAACCAGGTGCAGCTTAATTTGTCAGCTTCATTCTGTTCTGTTATCCATCACTTGTCAGACAATTTTGCACATTTTTGCTTTTCTGACTCATTCACCTGTAACATCCACTGTCATTTCTCACCTCTTGTACACTACATATTCCAACTTCTTCTCCCACAACATGTCATCTTTACTTCCTGTCTTCCACTCTTTTCCTTCGTTAGATGGGTCAGACTACCACACTGACTATGAAGAGGAGGCAATGGAGAGTGCCCTGTCTGACATGGAGCTATACAATCGCTATGGAGAGCACACTGAAGGGGAGGAGACAGCTGACACGGTAAGGTTTGACACTGTAGAATAAGTGTTTCATTGCACTTCTGTCATATCTAAAACAAACATATGGGGATAAATTGTGAATGTTTTCCTTAGCAGTGGCACAATCACTTTTTTCTAAATAAAGTTGTTTAGATTTTCTTCACAAAAAGAGGAGATTTTAATCAAGTCTACTATAACTGGATTCACTATCAAGTACAGTTGCGTAGTCTGTGTAACAAAGGAACGGTTAGATACAAAATAGGATAAAATCTATAAAGCTCAAACATGCCAAAAAGTTGACACAAACCAACAGAAATAATTTCAGATTCCCAGAGTTTTGTGGATTGTAATTTCAGATTTTGTGTTTCGAAAGTACCTGGAAAGAGCATTCCTTAGCCTTACTCAAAGTCAGGTCAGCTTTTATTTGTATAGCCCAATATCACAATTCATAAATTGGCTTCAGTGGGCTTTACAATCTGTATGGTATACACCACTTTGACCCTCACAGTAAAACTGTGCATTACTCCCTTTTTTCCCCAAACTAGTTTTCTTCTTAATCAATCTGCTGGTTAAACTGTACACATTTCTAGTATTTCAGACACAAAGTGGAGTAAAGAGATACTGTAATTAATGAAAACTGATTTGGAGGCATCTTGCCAAGGCCATTAAAGCAGCGTCTGGAGAAATTCCTTTTTAAACTGCACAGTATACTGCATATGTGGCCAATGAACTGACTGTTGTAAGGACAATAAAAGGATGAATAGATGATAAACCTTTCAAATTGAGACTATCCAGCAGAGATTTACATGGGGCTTTAATGAAATTATCAAGAAAAAATAGAGGACATCTTTTGATAGAAAGTGTCTTTCATATGCATTTGTAATCACTTGCTCTTTACAATTTTATTAACTGTGTAGAATTTCATTCCAATGAAATCCAAGGTTCATCTTCACTGATGCATAAACTTGTTGCTGATTCTCAGGATGAAGAGTTGGAAGGGAGACCTTTACACCACATTACCTCACCCACCAGCAGCCGCCTTCAGCCCCCTGCCCTTTCTGATAGTACCCAGGATGTGCCATCAAACCAGGAAGTCCCTTCCAAACAGTCCATTAAATGAAGACTCATGTAATGAACGCTGGACAGGTCATCGCAGTTTAACCCAACCGTCTTTGCCGTATTTTACCCTCCAGTCTGTCCCGCATGACTCAAAACCTGTTGCCTACCCCTGAACCTGTCAGTGACTGTGATTACGATTTTGCCCTCTATAACCAGGCCTCGTTAACTTTGTGGCTGATGCAACAAATCAATGGTCCCTTTGTGTATATATATATATATATATAAATAAAGATACAGGCATTTAGTATAACATTTACTCAGTTACAAGTCCTATTCCTCCTAGACCCTCCTGCCTGTCATTCAAAGCGGCCATGCCCTTAATTATGCATAATTTTTAATCTCAATAGAATTAAACGGGAAGTTATTAAATAAATATTCACCCCTTAGCGTCGGAGGTTGTTGCTTGGTTGGCCTGCCAGTATCTGTCGAAACATGTATCAAGGCTATTTTAAAGGATAAACTCAGATTTTCTTAATCTTAAATACTCGTCATAATACAGTTCTTATGCTTGTATGCAAGTTGAAAGAGGTATTGTATTGTTTTAGCAACCTGAGACTGACAAATCAAGTCTTCCAAAGGTATAGTGTTCAGTACAAAATCCCCTTTGTGTCTCACTCAACTGTTTCATTGTTATGCTAATTACAACAACAATTTACTCTTTCAACATGTATAAGATGTGCGCATTGTACTGTATTAAGACAGACTTGAAAAATGTGAACCTATCCTTTAGTATCTTGTTCACTCGAGCTATGTACCACCACATGCAAAACAACACTAAAAACCAAAAGAGAGTAAAACAAGCAGCCATGACTATGGCTGTTAGTACAATTCAGACACTCTCCCCATCTATTTTCTAGTTTGAATCCATCAGACAGACTGAGCAGCAGACAGAGCGCATCTGTTGGCTGAACTCTGAGGTTCCACTTGTCCCAGTCCAATTTATGCACAGCAGCAGCAGGGCAGTTTCACAGGAACATGTTGTAACACACATTATTTGGCTTGTCAAGACGTGTTTTAGCTTTTTTCTTCCTTCCAAACTGCAAAGTTTTGTACAGTAGCTTGCCATTAAGATGATCTGAGTTTTTTCCATACCTACATGTACAGTATATTATAGTCAAACAAGTGTATAATTACATATTTACTATTTAGACCAAGAAAGTATACGATCAAAGCTCTAGATGATTTTATGCACAAGTCACAACAGTTGGACAATCATTCCAGAAATGCAATGCAATGCACAATGAATCTAATTGTATAGTCTTGATTAACATGCCTCTCTGTCTGACACTGCACCACTTCTATATCTACACCTGCACTATTTATTTTGGGTCTCTAGAATGTCTAAAAGAAGTGAAAAATGGATATTACCATCCTCAAATTCTACTTTTTTTTTGTCCATAACCAAAAGATATCCAGTTTACTTTAATGTAAGAAAAGGAAAAACAACACATCCTGACTGTACAACCATCAATCGAAAAATAATTTAAACAACATCAGCAGTTGTCAAAATATTCACTATTAGTTTTCTGTTGATCAACGTACTGTTTCAGCTCTAATCACAGCATTACCAGAGCCTTGACAATACTGGATTTTTGATGTTGATACCTGTAAATATATTTGAGTTTAAAAATCAGACAAGAATACATTGGCTAATATTAATATTTTAATGTAAATGTGTAACAAACATAGCTAAAAGGCTGAGCAGGACATTTTGCAGTTGAAAAGTAGATGTACCAGTGCTCTGTGACAAACAGTATGACAGCACAAATTTTAAACTACTGTAATGTAAACATTTCTGTACTGCAAGTTACTTGTTACTTACTGACAAACATGTCACTATCAGTATACCTGGTTGGCTTATCAATGCAACTTTTTATGGTTTTATTTTCCTCCCACTTAATATAGCCCCTGTGAGCCTCCATGTATGAAGCTGTGATTTTCACTAATACTGGTGCTACTATACCTGCAGTGGTACATGTATAGAAGGTAGAAGAAACCCTGCGGTGAACACTATGGAGATCCCATGTGGTGTCTTGCTAAACGTAGCCTGGATGCAGCATGTGTTAACAAAGCACAGACAGGAAAAACATTTGCTGTTTACCAATAAGGTAATGGTGTTTGGGTAGTTTCCAAAATCCAAGCACAAGGAATTGATCTTGTCTGGCAGGATGAATGCTTCACTAATTTATTAAATGGGACATGGCAATGGATGATGTGCTTATATAATGTGTGGATCTGTGCCATGAACTTAATGCAACACAGCCTTAGATGACCCGTATGGGAAAACGACCACTTGTGCCCTCAGTTATCATTCACTGCAATGATTCAGATGATGAATGACATTTACCACTAAGCCTGTACTCTGACATCAGTTACTTGTCTGTATTTGTTCTTTGGTAAATATTGTTTTTGATATTCAACTGTAACTAATAAACCACAGTTTGTTGTTGCTTTTCCATTTTCTGGTTGGCATTACAGTTAGTCACAATTCCATTATGACAATTATTTTAGTCTTTGAATAATTAGCTGATTATTTTCCTCATTTATAAAAAAAAACTAAATTGATTAAAGTGTGATAAAAGCTAATAAGTGATAATTAAAAATGGTGATAAATCATGCACGTTTCCAGAGCACACGGTGTCGGATTGTTTTGTCAGACCAGCAGCCCAAAACAGCAAAGCTTGATCCAGAAACTTTTGCTCAATGAATGACACAAAAGTTAAAGCATTTGTCAAAATTGCTGAGTAACTTCCTGTCCATCAAATAATGGATGCAACTCGTTTCTTCAACCTGACTATTTGCAGTTTACGTGAAGGTAAGAATCACCGTTGTATGCATTTTCCTTCTCAAACTTTAATTTGAAGGATTTTAGAGACTTGAGAAATTTTTAAAAAGCTAAGACTAATCTTGGAACTGACATCCAGGTTTAGAACCACTGTCCTAGAGGGTATTCTGCCAACTATAGGGTACCATAAAATAAAATAAATATAACTAGGCAGCACTCAGAGAATGCAAACCTCCACCAAGGCAGCAGCTCGGATTTTCCATAATGCCATTACACCTAAAAGCAATATACCCATGATAGTTTGATCCTCATAATATGATTCCTTAACCATGAAAACCAATCCTTAGCATTTGTAATCACATTGATATCATTAGTTATTCAATTAGAAAGCTATTCAATAAAAACACTAGACATGGGTGATTACTAAAATGCCACAAATGGCTAAATAAACGTTCTATACCCATACCCTACCTCTCCAAACAATTTCATCCAAAGCCATTAATTACTTTTTGAGTTATGCTGTGAACAAACCACCAAAACAAACAAACCCACAAAAGCTGGTAAAAACATTACCTCCAACTTGGTGGATAAATACTTCTGCCTAGTACAGCTGCATGCTGGGAACCTAACACCAACCCCAAAGACCATAGATAAATACCTGTAAATATAATGTTGTCCACTACAACACCCTTTAACTATGACCTCAATAATAAACATATCATTGCATTTATACATTTATGACAATTTTAACAAAAACAACCATTTTGCACTTCATAAACACAGATGTTAAGGTGGAAGTGTTGCACTAAATTGCATACAATTGTACAGGTGTGACTATTAATGTGGCCAAATAATGAATGGAATCAGCAATCAGCAAAATAAGTACATGTTCAAGAAAAACTTATTTTCAGACTTTAAAAAAATCTATATTAAACACAAGGGAGTTTGTTAAAGAAAACAGAGATTACCATAAAGTGCTGTCACACACACACACACACACACACACACACACACAGAGAGTCATAGATCACATAATAATGGATGATTAATCTGACCTTATTGATGTGTCCTATAATGAGCTTTTTCAATCTCCCACCCTCCTGGGGAGTGCGTAGACCTGCTTCAGCTAATTCATGAGCACACAGGAGGGAATGTAGGTCACCAAAGGGCCAGGAGAAGAGAATGACAGGGGGAAATAAGTGGCACTGCCTCTGATCGATACATCGCAGGGAAGAAATTTGAGGCTCATAAAATGGGGTGAATGAGTACAGACTTACAGTAAATTAGACAGCAAAGACACGATTGACAGTGAATGAGAGAGCCAGAGTGCTGGAGTGTTGGCGGACAACAACCCCACTCTGCACTGAATTACTTTGACAAGCAGCAAGAGATTTGGTGAGCCATTTATGTAAAAATGAGGACAGGCAAGACGCAAAGACGCAAGGGGAAGTTTCTGATGTTAAACAGATAAACAGCTGCATTATAGAAGGTAACAGTCCAGAGCCTCATACTGTACAGTAAACAGTATATCTCTCCATCTTTCTGTACAGCGCTGCTCTTTTCCTGCCCTCCCACCCATTTCCTCCCTTCTCATTATTCTTCCTTTGCCTATAGGCTTTTGGAAAATGGGGACACAAAGGACAAACAGGTAAGTGGGGCACACTTTGTGCAGCTGTAGTAAAGATACTGTACCTCTGTGACACACAAAATAAAAGTGTCAGCACAGAAAAGTCTCCTTACAAAAATGTACATTTCCCAAATGCCACATACCTTAAAACCACAAAATGAAGGTGATAGTACAGTTTGCAAAGATAGTACAATTTAAATGACATTAACATTTTGGTCCAGGCTGATATACTTCAACAACTATTGGATGTATTGTCATATTCTGAACAACATCCCCAGAGGATGCTGCTGACTTTGGTGATCTTTTGACTTTTATTGTATTTATGACTTTTTTTTTTTTATTGTAGTAGGTCAAAATTCAATTTGTCTGGAACTTGGGGTTATGGCCAAATACCTGAAAAACTAATGATATTCCCATGAACCTGTACTCGTGTTTAGTATTAATTTGGAAATGTTAGCATGCCAACATAAACTTAGCTGGGGACCATGGTGAATATTACACCTTTTAATTGTGAACATGTTGTCATGATAGTGTTAGTTCAAAGCACTGTCAAATTAGTATTATTGAGATTTTATAGACTGATTACTTCAAAAAATGGATTAATCAATAAAGGAAGAAATAACCATTACCTGCAGTTGCACATAAACAATCATACTGTCACCACAAGGCTCATTTCAGATAGATTTAAATTGGGGTGAAATCTGCTGCAGTGTCTTCACTACCCTCAAGTACACAGCTTTGTCAGCCTGCAGCTACCACTTGTGTACACCTTTCCCTCTCGATAAGCCTCTGCCATCCATAACATGCTTTGTTCCAGGACTGAAGCAGCAACTGATCTAAACATGCTCCTTCCTTAGTGAAAAGCTCTTGATAGATGTGACTCTCTTAACTGCAGCACCAAGATTCATTTGAAGTAAAATAGCTTCCATGTCTGCAGAATAATTACTGAGTGTGTCAGTCTGGGCACTGCTATTATTATTACATATAATCTGTTTTGTGTGTTTGATGCTCCAGCCTGGAGTTTAGCACAGATTGAATGTTTTCAAGAATATTTTGGATTTGCATGGTAATTGACATAGCTGTGACACAGCGATCCTGAGTTCAGGCAGAAACACAAATTTATCAACAGCTACACATAATAGGGACAGTTATACATCTATGTAACAATATGTACATAAAGTATATCTGGCATCCTGGTAGCTCATTTGAGCTCATCAATCACTAAAGAATTCGCTTGGAACAAGTCTAATATTTACACTGTTTATCAACCATAAAAACAGAACCAGACATTTCCTGGTTCTGTTTGAAATGTGAGAATATGCTTCTTTTTTCAGATTTATAACATTTTAAATTAAATATCTATATCCAGTTTTTACCTTTTATGAGTGTTCACTGAACAAAAAAGTTATTTTAAGATACCTCTTTGGACTCTCATGCACTTGCACTACTTTCCCCCCTCATTTTGCAGATCAAATGAATACTAAATAAAGAAGGTAACAGCAAGTGCAGCCCTAATTTGATCCAAGAAGCTTCCAAAGTTGTGCCTCTCTTTGTCCAGTTCTTCCTTTTTTCTTTATCATAGAATTTCCAATAAAGGGAATAAATTAGGGTTGCAGCTACTGTTTATTTTTGTTTGATTTGTTTGGTTCATAAGATATTAAAAAAAACAACAGTGGGAAAATACATCTATTCACAATTGCTCATAGTCCATAGCAATGTCTTAGATGTGCTGGTTTTATCGAACCAAAAGTCCAAAACCCTAAGTTTACTGTCATATAAGACACATACAGTCAGCAAATCCTCACATTTGAGAAGCTGGAGCCACAAAATATTCAGATGTTTTGTATGAAATATGACTGACATAATGAACTAATTATCAAATTCATCATTTCAGCTCAAACAAAAGCCAAATGTAGGCAGAAGCTCATCCTAAAGGAATTACATTGTGAACAATTAGCATGAAGCTTGGCTCATTTAAATTTTCTCATTGGTAACTTGAAGTATTTGTACAGAAAATAAATGCCAAGTAACTGCAGATTTATTTAGTTTGAGCAATGCAAGATCCAGTAGAGGACAAAGTAATTTTTCACTAAAACCTGACATCCAACAACTTGCTTGGTCAGCTCTGGGTTCAGTGGGGTCCAGTAATTTAAGGTTCTGTCTGTTATCTCTAGATTTTTCCTTTTTTATTGTCTAGGTTTCAGTGTGTCAAAGTGCGAGTCAGTTGATCACTGCCTCACAATGATAAGAAGAAAACGACATTGTTATACCAGTACAAACAGTGTCAACATGTGACTGTTACACTGTGTAGGTTTAGTGCATTTCTTTACATGGCAAATGGTTTTATTTCTCAGACACATAAATGAGATGTTTGAGCATTTACAGTAAATATGATGAAACAGTCGCAGCACAGCTGAACTGCTCTCATATAAAATACACAACTTTAACACCTTCATGCTACTGCAAAACACTCTTATGCACACTACTAAAACACTTGGTCAGCTATCCCTGACTACCAATGACAAAATATGAAATGAGGCTGATATTTCCCTCCCACCTATAAACATATCATTGTTGTAAGGCAGAGAATATTTCTAGTGTGATACTGTCTCGCAAATTAAATATGAGGCCTCAGGTATATCCACAACATAGTTGTACACCACACAGGTTTGTAGGTTGGCCAGGATCATAGGAAATAAAAGGTGTTTTAAGGAATAATATTCTGTCTTTATCATCTAATGTAAAAACTTATCTCAATGTTAGTTTATTTTGGAATTCTCACAAATGTCAAATCTCAGGGTTAAAATTAAAGTTAAGTGGCTCTTGGTAGGTAGACAGTTTAACTAAATTTGTACTGGTTACACAAATTAAACAACATAACACCAAGATTGTAGGTAATGATGGCAACCGTTTAGGCTTCAGTGTCCAAGCTATAAAATTTAATAAAGAGGCTTAATTTAGAACAATGAACAAACACTTGCCTCAGAGGTGTCTTGTTATTGGTCACCAGAGATGAATGACTCCTGCCAGCCAAACAAAATGAGGA